TATACAACGCATATTTTTAAATATAAAAATCTTAATCGTTATACCTGCGAAACTTTATTAACTCACACAATAGTACGATCATCTTAAAGGTCTACAGAGTTTTAAAAATTTCACATGATCAAAAGATCCAATTAGAAAATGTGATTACAATTCAAATTTATTAATTTAATTAATTAAAATCATAAAAACATTTATTATTTTATTTACAAAATTTATTTATTTATTTACTATATAAATTGCGAATCATGATATTTGTGAGAATTTATTATCCTACACAATAAGACAATTAATTTCAACATCTGCAGAGATTCTTTAAATCTCACATGATACTGTTAAATATTTTATTGATTTAAATTATAAAAAGAGAGTTAATTTTTATGCTGGGCTTTTGGAACCCATATTAACATATAAGTTAGATCTTCATACTTGTAAAATCTTATTGATTTACACGATATTAAATCATTTTCAGTGCCTATGGGGATTCTTAAAATCTCACATAGTAAAATTTAAAAATGATAGTTATGTTTACCATACAGGCACTAAAGGATGCACATATTCAAGAATAATTCATTCAAACATAAAACGGGACAAAACAAAACAATTCATCAATTTTCAATCAATCTCCATGAGAAATTGTGAATATATTGAATTGGCCTAACTATATATAACATATAACTAAATAACTTACTAGTTTTAGAGTTCCTCGAGTGTTTGTACGAGACATATTGTGAGAGCCAAAAGAGTGAAGATGGTACTTTTGCATGACCCAGCTGGTTTCAGTGCCATGAGGAGCTTCTCCATTGTTGAATGCTAAATATTTCTTGATCCCAACTTTCTTTCCAGCAGCTGAGACTACTAACTTAGTCACTCCTATTTCCTTCCAATACCTACTTTATGTCGCTCTTTTTTCTTATACTTGGTGAAGAAATATAATTGGTTTCCACTTGACAATGCTTTCTCGTTGAGTTGGAAAAGTCTTTTTTTTTTATTTCCTCCTCCTTGCTATGTCTGTTCTTCGTCCAGCTTCCCTTTATCGGTCTCTGTTTTTTTTTCCATTTAGTCTCGCTTCAATTTTTTCTCTTCTTCCTCTCATTTTCGTGCTCTATTTTTCCTTCCATTTTTTTCTCCTCCTCCCAGCAAAAATTTGGTCTCTCTCTTCTCTATTTTTCTAGCATTTTCTCGTCGGTTTTTCTGTCCTTCTTCTTTGTATTTTCTTCTCTTCCTCAGTCTTCCTCTTCCCTCCTTCCTCCAGCTTTCCTCCTTTTCTACTGTTATCTAGTTTTTTTTTCTGCTCCTTCTCTATGCTCTATTTTTTATTTTCTCATCTCCACTCTCTTCTCTTATCCACCTCTATTCAAGCTTCTCCCATCTCCTATATTCGGTCACTGCTCTCTCTCCTTCTTTTCCTTTCTTCCTCTTCTTTCCCAGTCTCTTTTTTTTTCAAAAAATAAAACTCATCTGCCTCCCCCATTTCCAGCTCTTCTCTCCCTCTTTTATGCTCTGTTTTTGCTTCTGATCTCTGTACGTCTTTGTGCTCTTATTTTGTCTTTTCTGCTACTTGCATTGTGGCCGCAGCTTACTTTCAGGGTCTTCTCTCCATGTGTTTCGTGTCTTTGTTGCTCTGCATGGCCAAAAGTTTCCTTTTTTTTTTGCATTTTTCTCTGTGTTTGCTTTTTGTGTTAGTGTTTTTGTGTTTTTGTTTCTTTTTCAGCGCACACCCCTACTTCTTCTGTTTCTATTTTCTTTTTGGTCTTCTCTTCTGTTAACGTGTTTGGCCAAAAAGCCTGCTCTCTTCATGCATCTGTAGCTCTGGTTTTGTGTATTATCTATGCGTGCATGCTTGGTTCTTCTTTTATGTACGGAAGATTGTGTGTGTGTGCACATCATGGTTGCTGCTCCTTTTGCTGTGTTTTTTTGCTCTCTAATTTTTCTTTTAGTTGTGGTGAAACCTGCTTTTTATTATTATTTTTTTAATTAATGTTTATTGTTTTTTTAAAAATTAGATTAAGAATATATTATTTTTTTAATGAAAAACAAGATTTAAGGAGAGAAAAGTTACTCCCAATATTTTTTCAATGGTTAAGATAATTTAGGAGAAATTTTTCATGATTTAACCCTTTTTTTATTTTGTTAGATTTTTTTTGAAAATATAATCCTAAAAAGGGATTAAATTTCATTTTTTTTGTATTTTTATATTTTTTGTTATTTTAATGAACTAAAATAGATAAAATTTTAATCAACAAAAGATTATCTAGGATAAAACAAAATTAAACCCTATTAATTATTTTATTTTATTTTTTGAAAATATAATCCTAAAAAGAATTAAATTTTATTTTTATATTTTTATATATTTTTTGATTATTTATTATTAAATTTAAAAAATGTCCATACAAAAAATGATGTTCACAAGAAGATTTGGAGTTTAGGGATTTTATGAGATTTAATAAAGCATTATTGGCCAAGACTGCTTGGCGTCTTTTGTAGAATCTTGATGATATGTGGTGTAGGATTCTAAAGGGAATTTATTTTCCTAAATGTGATTTTTTGAATGCTGTAAAAGGCAGTAAAGCTTCATGGGGTTAGATAAGTACTTTGGAGGGTAGAGAATTATTGCAGAAGGACTTATGCTGGAGGATTAACCCTGGTGAGATGGTGGATCTATTTAGAGGCAGGTGGATTCCTTCAGCTGAGAACTTTTGTTTGAAGGAGTGCGTGTTGAGTGAGGAATTTAAGAGGTTGAAGGTGAAGGATATTATTGTTGATAGATGCTGGAATTTTGAAAAGGTAGAGGGTATTTTGAAGGATGAAGAGAAGGATTTGATGAGAGGTGTGAGAATCCCCGGAGTGGTGGGAAATGATACTTAGGTTTGGTTGAAAAAGTAGAGATGGAATTTTTTCTGTTAAGATGGGGTACAAGGTTGCAAGAGCTGAGATGGATGCAAAGAGATGTGATCAGCCTTCTGGTTCTTATATTATTTCAAAATCCCTGTAGAATGATATTTGGAAAATTAAAATGCCTTCTAAAGTCTTACAATTTGTTTGGAGAGCCGTGACAAGTGCTATGGCTATTAGGGAATCTCTTTTCAGAAGGAATTGATGCAAGATCTCCTCTTTGTGTTATTTATAAAACAGAAGTTGAAATAATTGAACATGCTTTGTTTTTATGCCATTGGGCTCAGTTATGCTGGTTTAGATCTCCATTGGCCTTGAAATTTGATGTGGTAAGGATGACTAATTGGGTTAATTAGCTAGATAAGTGGCTATCTATTTAGGATGGGCTTGACGAATATGGCTTGGCATTATTTGCTAGTATTTGTTGGCCTATATGAAAGTCTAGATGTGATTTTATTTTTGAAAATATTGATATTGATGTAGGTGCTTGTCTATCCAAGGCTATTTGTTTGACCAATGAGTTTTGGAGATACAGTAATAAGAAGAAGGGAGCTGTTGTTAGTGATTTGAATGAGAGGAAGTTATTATGGGCTGTGCCTGATGTTAACAAAGTTAAGTTGAATTTTGATGGTGCTTATTGTCATGATAGTAAGAGGGTTGTTGTAGGCATAGTAGTGAGGGATGGGAAGGGGTCGTTTGTAAGAGAATTGGGGAAGGTTGTGAAGGTTGATTCAACTTTTATGGCTAATGTCTCATGCTAATTGAAGGGTTAGAAACAGTTGGAAGATTTCAAGGGAAACAAGTGATCTTTGAGACAAATTGTCTTGAACTGTTTCAGAAGGTGAAGGATTTGAATGCTTTAGGTTGTGAATGGTGGTGTGCTGATATGTTGTAGGTTTGTTTCAGCTTATGGAGATCATGTGGCGATTCTTTATCCTTGGTAGCTCGTAAGGGTAATAGTGCTACGGATTCACTGGCAACTTTGGCAATGAGGGGATTGGTACCTAACAGATGGCTTTTTTAGCCACCAACACCTCTTATTCTTGTTTTCCTTGCTGATCTCTATAGGTCTGATGATGGTTATTTTGTGAAAACTGGTATTGGTTAATATGTGCTATTTTTTCTTGTTTGTTGCCTTTTGTATTGTTTTGTTTTTCTTTTGGTGAGGTGTGTCTTTATTGTTTAGGTTTTTTCAAGTGTTTTTTCTTAACTACGACTATTGGTATTTGAAATTGTTTCCTTGTTGATTAATAAAATTGACTTTCTTTTGGCCAAATAAAAGAAAGTATAACAAAAAAATGAATCATTCGGCATGGATTTTTTTTTCTTTATACGGTTTTCATTTTCCAGTTTTTTTATGTATTTTTTTATATAAAGTCCAATGATCACAAAGAATAATCCGAACAAGAAAATCTTGTGTTGAAGTTCAAGAGCACCGTTCTTCACAAGCTCAGTGATATGTTTTTTAAGACGGTATTCAAACTTCTTTTTGGTTATCCACAAGTGTTCAACTTGTGGCTTCCGTTTTGTTATTATTGCTATCAGGCGCTAAGATCAAGCCCAATACACACAAAACTATGGCCTCGTTTGGTATGATGGAAGAGTTCTTAATAGAATCGGAATCAAAATCGAAATAGAATTGAGTTTTAAAAGTGTGTTTGGTATGAAGATGAAATTCTAATATAATATTAATTTACATATATATTTAAAATAAGAAAAAACTAAATTGCCCTTTTTTTTAAATTAAAAAGACCTATCTTGTTATAAATAAACAAAAAAGATGAGAATAGTAAAATCCACAAATTAAATTCAAGAAAATTGAAACAATTCCATGATTAATATGATGGAATTGAATTCTAACATTTTTTATAGAATTAGAATTTTTAAGAATTACAACTCTTGCATACCAATCATGTTTAAATTAAGATTTTATCTTTGATTCCATTTTCACTTTATCAATTCAATGCTACCAAATATAGCCTAAATGCCAATAGGGGAGCTTCTGAGTGATATTAGTCTCATTTAAAAGGCGCGCACACAAACATCCATTTTTCAATTTGTCTACATACTATAAACTCCCGCCAGACTCTACATATTTTCACACTTAATTCTGGGAAGTGAAAATTTTAACAAATCACGGGATATTCATCAAAAACTAATCGTGGATGCACACGCTAATGACAATTTTTAGTCGTGGATGCACACGCTAATGACAATTTTTAGTTGTGCTGTTGGCTCAGCACAACAAATCGATTCTTACAAAAACAAACATAACAACAATTCATCTCAGAAAGGAATAGAAGCAAATCATTTCTTCTTCTTTCCTGCAATGGCGACCTTCTTTCCCTTCAAGGTCCGGCAATTGTTCTTGGTGCGTTGTCCTCTACAGGGCAGGCCCTGAATATGTCTGACCCCTCTGTAGCATTGGATCTCCTTCAATCTCCTTATATTGAGTGCATTGAACCTCCTCTGAGACACCCAAAGAGATCCATTCTTACATTTACAAACACATCAATGAAATTGAAACATGTTAGAGAGTTAGGGAGGGAGGTACCAAGTCGCCTTCAATCATGTACTTGGAGACTTCATCTCTGAGAGTGATGAGTTCCTCCTCAGTCAATTCCTTTGTCATTTTGTTGTCCATGCTTAGGTCGCACAGGATTTTCCGAGCTTTGCTCCGTCCAACTCCATGTATATACTGCAGTGAGAACTCAATTCGCTTGTTGTTTGGAATCTCTACACCCCCAACACGAACACATTGGATGCTTAGACCTTGAACCTGCATCAACACATTAATCATGATACGCCACAGTGAACACTTAAACTTTTATCACGACGGTCACTTGTCTTGCCCGTAACATGTTTTTCTAGCTTAACATTCAATTCAGTTTCAAAGGATATCGCTAATAATGAAAACTGTAAGAGTGTTGAATTTCGGAACATTCAGTATGTGACACCCAGGAGCCTAATGATCTCAACTCGAGGGTTTCCATTCAACCATTAGAAGTATAGGTAAGCGATAGAAATAATATAAGCCAAAACAAAATGTAGCGGCAGAAAATCTCAAAATTTGAGGAAAGCGCCGAAGCCCTACTGATCCGTTAAAAAACTCCGACAGTGTAATAATTGTATTACCCATTCCCTATCATCCTCGATTGCACAAATTTCATGGTCATGGGGATAATAATCGCAGAAATCCAGCATGGGGATCCGAAAATTAAAGATTTCGAGCGGCAACAAAATAATTCCTGTGCAAGTAAATTAGCATAAACGGAATGATGCAAAGATATTCGAACAATAACTTGACTTAAGCGTCAAAACATGACAGAAGGCAACATAAATAAAATGGGAACTGGTAGACCCATCGGCGCTAAGATTGTTACCTTCGAAGGGTTCGAGAATCGGAGAGAGACGCTTCTTGAAAGCGAATTTGAAGTGTGGGTATCGCAAATAACAGACAGAGAAGGCGCCACAGGCATTGCTAGCGTTTGTGCCATTTTCCGCTGTTGTCCACCTGATGGAGAAGACGAGAAGAAAAGCGTCGTCCGGTAAGGCAAGAAGCTTATCCTCGCACTTTTTTCTTCTTGTTATTATTATTATTATTTTTTTTTTAAGGCATGAGAATTTCTGTAAGGCCGAGACTTATTATTATTATTATTTTATATGAGTAAGGCCGAGACATTTCAATCAAGATAGGCAGTGAGTTTTAATCCAAAAGCCCAGTGAAAGTCAGGCCAGTGGACCAGAGACTTGAGTTGGACTTCACTGCTGCGGGCTGATCATGGATAGTCAATTCAAGGCGGGGGATGAATCATGGACACTTTGAATTTTCCTTCCTCGAAAAAAATTATCAGTACATAAACTCAACTTCTAACCAGCTCTGCCGAGAAAGAAAGATCCCAACTCATACGAACTATGGATTTGGTTAAGAATTGCCACAAATTACTGAAGTCCATTAATTTTATGCTGTGAATAACAAGCAATAATTTCACCATTCAAGCTATATATGTAATCTTTTTTTTATATAGGGGTGGAAAAGTCGAATAATCTAAAATCACTCTTTTAGTGTTTTGCATAAGGCATTTCAAGCAATTTTTATGCAAGTTAAGAAACTCTGTTAGATTGTTTTGTTTATCCAAAAACATCAATACGTTACAATATTCTAACTATACCATTATTTATTAAAAAAACTTCATCATATCCTACTTATACTACAAGAAAGCTATTATAGTTATATAAATAAAAATAGAACATCATTTAATATTCTAACTAGGTTTCTTATTATTTGAACCAATTTTTTTTAGAATGTACAGTGTATAAAAGACCAAAGGGAGTATGGATTACAATGTCTTTAGGAATTCTGTTGTGGAATAGTCGGTCCCAAAAAAAAAAATCTTTATTGCATTCCATTTCATTTTGAGTAATGTTTTAACAACATTATTTTATTCTGCAACTTTAACTGCTATTTTATCTTATCAGTGGCTAATTATGAATATTTCTCAAGTACGGTCCTAACAAATTATTAACACATGTTTTTTTAATTATATCCATCATTTATTTCCTCGAACCATATTAATTAAGTTATGATTCATTTACAATATTATTTACTCCCTCTATCTCTACATATAAAATGTTTTTAATCAAATCTCACATATCAATAAATGTTTATTATTTAGTTAAATTTACATAAAAATACAATGATTTTTTAATTTTATCCTTAATAATATCATAACTGATATCATGATGGTGGTAAGAAAAATATATAATTAATAATATATTTTATTTTATAAGATAAGAATAAAATTATCTAATTATTTAAAAATATCATTGCAACTCCTTATATTAAAAGATAAAAAAAAATTAAAAAATATTTTATATATAGAGATAGAGGGATTAGTTCAAAAGAAATTCTACTTTCGCAAAAGGACAATTTAGTGAAATTACATTTATTCATCGTCTTTCTTACATTCTGTGCCAAAGTTTTAAACGATGCTTGAAAAGGAATGGGAGCGGTTCAAGAATTGAGAAATTAACTCATAAGTGAGCCCCCTAATTATTGAGAGGGTCCACCCACCTCTTACGAACTATGATGCTTTGTGAAGACGAGTTGAGATACGCCTCACCCCGAGTTAAATCCGAAAAGGAAATAACCGTTCGTAAATCATATGCGGAATTGCCTCCACTACTTTTCCTTCCTTCGTGTATACTATAAGGTTTATGTATTAATTACAATCCATCCTTAATGAAATTACTTATCATTCCGCCTAAATTTTTATCACATATATGTACGTGAGTTTATTGTGCACATTATAAACCAACTCAGGTCACTGTGAGCAACAAAGGCTCTTATTCATTAAACTTTGATACTACGTGTTCCAACGAAAAAGTAATTGAAAGAGCTTTTCCCAAATACAAACACTTATGATTATGGTTGGCATTTATAGCGGTCATATGTATAGAAAACTCGGCAACGTGCATCAAAGTACAAGCTGGGAAATAAAAAGGGAAGTGATAAACATATGACCCCTGGGGAGATTGAGGTTGCATAGATGGCATGGTGATGGGTAAAAGAGTGAGCCATGGTGATAGAGGAGGGATCAGATATCAGAGGAGGGCATTGAGAATGAGCCTGAAGTCGTCGAGGCTCACAGCTCCATCTCCATCCACATCAAGCGAAGCCACAATGTGTTCGCAATTCTCCAGGGACAGCGAATCAGCCATCGCCTCGTGCAGCTCCTCCCCCGTCACAGTCTCGCTGCCTTCTTCGTCCAGCGCTTGAAAAGCTGCTCTGAGCAAATGCCCCAGCTCCACGCACTCCAAATCCTTGGTGCTCAGCTCCAGGAACTCCTGCATGCTCAGCAGCCCGTCCCTGTTCTTGTCTCCTTCCTCCATCATCCTCCCCACCTCCTCCTCGCTAACCCTGTACCCTATCGACCCCATCATTCCTCCCAGCTCCTCCCTCGTTATCCTCCCGTCGTTGTCCCCGTCGAATGCTCTGAACGCCTCCACCAGCCTCACCACCTGGTTCAGCGTCTCTGTTTCTCCCATCTTCGATCTTCGATGGCTCTTCACTTTACCCCCTCCCCTTCCCATCACTATAGATATATAGGCGCAGAGTAAATCATGTTGTAGAATCAAATGCTTGTTCGAGATTGTGACCTGATCAGATGACGTTCTTAGCGGAGGACGGGACGAATTTTATTCCGTCGAGCTCACTGTTGAGTCTGGAACTTGCCATTCTTTATCACTGCAGAATCGTAAAAGGTGTAACTGATAAGAAAGAATCACGCGTTGTTATTTCCAGCCATATGGGCAGCAAGTTGATGCCTTTCTGAAATTCCTTCGAGATTGGATTTCGATTTTGGATGCTTTAGATGCGCGTCCCGTGTCGTTTCGTCAATATGAGAACCAGTGGGTTGGGCCCATGCCTAGCTGGGCCAGTAAGTGATGGCTAGTCACCAGGGAACGATAATTGAGATCAAGGCCCAATCGACTCATATCACCTTGTCGTTTGCACGGGGAGTTTTGGTTCACGTGGTATCACGTCTATTTTCTTTTTCCAATAAAACATGAATTTTATTAAACCTAAACGAAAACTACAAAAGGAAAAGAAGAAAGTCTGCCCCAAGTGATGTTGCAAAATTCGCAGCTGCCAGGGTACTGAACTACAATTTGATACAAAACTTGAGAAAGAGGGCTTAAGCATATGTATGCCTAACGGAAAAGAAGCGTCGTACAGAGAGTTCTGTTTAAAAAGAAAATGCATGGCACGTTGTCAGGCAAGTGGTTGTAATTGCAATATGCCGATATGTGTGGGTCGTGTGAAGTTCCATGCATGCACAATGCTCCATTTCAGTAAATTGTAATACATAACTCCCTAATACGCGGATGCTGTCGGAACTGACTGAATCCCACCATCCAAAAGTTGGTAGGCTGATGTAATGTAGTGTAGGAACCAATCGTATCTCTTTCGGTATTATCATGTGGTGTCTCTATTTTAAAACACCACCACATTGTACTACGGCCAACCAAAAGCTAGCTGTGTTAATGGCCTTTGTAGGAGTATATTTCTTGCCTGCGAAAATTATTCGATTCTAGAAAAAACAGATCGTATCAAACATGAAAAAAGGTAAGATTATGAGAAATATTGATATTGGAAATGTCGGGCAAACAAAGATCAAACCAAAAACACAACCACTGATTTACTGACCAAGCAGGGTGATAGTCAATACAAAGATTCAACATGCTACCAAGCCAAGCAACCCTTGAAAAAGGGCAATGAAGAAACAAGTGGGACAAAAACTCCAAATCCAAATGAGAAAGGGGACAATTTTCCACAATGTTCGAATTCCGATGTCTTGAAACCTAAGAAGATGGCAACCTATTCCAAACAAACTTGTAGATGAAAAGTTTTAAACGAGGAGGTAAAAAACCTTTTTTTTCCAAATATAAATATAAATATAAGTTTTGGTTAGAAGAGCTTTGCACTGTCGTGAATTAACTTGACTTGATCAAGATTAATCAAAGTCCAACACACACACACACGTTTTGAAACATGATTGTGTGAGTACGCAAATCATGATGATGGTTAAAAAAAAAAAAAAGAGTATGCAAATCATGAGCCAACCAAAACTAGCTCAAATAACAAAACTATAATGAAATACTTCTCCTAAATTATATACAAGTCGCTTTCTATAAATTTTGATTAATTTAAAATATAGAATATTGGATAGTTATTATATATTTTTTCAATTACACCATTACTTTATTAGGTAATTAATAAGGGTGTTTTAAACAAGTTAAATATTTAATTATTACACTTAAAGGCATGATTGAAAAAATTTGAAAAAAGTCAAGATTTTAACAAATTTTGTTAAAAACACAAATTAATTATTAATGACTTAAATCAATGGTGATAAATTTTTAAAGTTAGAGCGTGCAAGTGATTTCTTAGCATAATATTCCTATAAAGCAGTGCTGCCTCAATTTCATATTTTAGAGTAAAACTTGATGCATCGATTGTTATGGTAAGTGTTAGATAACATATTTTCAATAAATGTTTGCTCAATATGCAAGTAATTGATTAAGAAATCTTTAAGTATCAAGATTATCCACGATGAGTCAATATCGAGAATCCTTCGCTTTGCTATTAACATTTAAAAAAAAAAACAAAGCTGCATTTCATCCAAAACAAATAGAGAAGTAATCAAATTGCATCGGTATCATATTATCACCGAAACTGTGAAGGCCATTGAAGAATCCACACTCAGTCCATCCCTTATTTGTAATATTGGATTTGAAGTCTCTTTGTCTCTTCATTTCAACTATGATCTTCGGCACACTTAGTCAACTCTTTTAGGACTCGTTCATTTAAAATTTAAAAATAAATATTTTTTTATGATTTAGAGATTATATAAAAATGATTTATTTTGAAGAGAATTTGGAATAACAAAAAATGTTATGTATTTGGTTACAATTATAAAAAATCACTTTTAACTTGTTTAGATAAAAGAATATAAAAATATTTTATTTACTAAGTCACAGCAACGGACACGAAAAAACAATTTCTAAAAAAATCTTTCCAGTAACACAAGAAGCATTCAAAGAGAGGTTATGGTGAAGATGACAAAGCATCTAAGACATCAATTCATCTGCCTTCAATGAAATCATAGACGCAAACAAAGTTGGGTACAAATGAATGTGAAAAGGAATCTAGATGGAAAATGGTGGGTTTTCTACTTATTAGATTTTAATGACTATCAAAAAGCATGGAGCCTCAGCCATCAATGATTACATGGGAAATGGGAATTTTTAGGGGGAAACTCATTTTCTAGCTCTATATCTTTCTATAATGCCCAAAACATACATTTAAAATGACGGACCAAAGACGAGCATACTCAACCAAGTCTATTACAGTCATGGATCGATCTAATCCTAGCTTGAATGAAATGTAAAAGTTTGAAAAGAAGAGATTGAAAACCTATATTCAACAATTTGCAAAAGAGAAGATATCGATAAAAGAGAAGAAGGATGGAAGGTGAGTCTTAAAGGTGGTGGAAGGTGGTGGTGTCTACTGTTGGTGTCAAAACTGATGGAGGATGACGAGTTCTTGGTGTGTGAGAGAGCGAAGGCGAGAGCATGACGAATAAGGTATAAAATGAATTGGGCAATTTTGTCCAAAATATTTCACCATCTTTAGTATTTTTACCCATTTTTCTCTCCCATCTATTGCCTGGATTATTTGGAGAAACTAGTGAAAGTAGCTTAAAAAAATAATATGAAAATAGCTGCTTCTTTTTTCAGAATTTGTTTTTTTAAAAAAAGTTTGAACAAACAACTAACAAATTCTGAAAAGTGATTTTTTGTTTTTTGCAAAAAAAAAAAAAAGCAATCCCCCCCCCCCACAAATATTCCTAAATAAACACCACCTTAATTATTGTTAAGTCAGCTAAACTCTTAACCATGGCATAAGACGAGAAAACAAAAAATTGTTAAGACATTGCTTGATAGAATTGTGTTTGTGCTTCCATGAAATGCTTGGGTTCTTGCATTATTAAAAAGGATGGTCGCAAGTGAAAAGAGTTGAAGTATTTGTAACCCTCCTTCGAGTTGTAGAACTTTTTTCTCCTGGATAATAGACAGTCTGGACTCTGGATTAATTTAAACCTATGGGCTATATAAACTCCCCATAATGTTCTAAAAAATATTTACAAAAGAAAAAAAAATGCAAGAAATGCATACAAAGAATCATCTAAAACTGTTTGCTGTAGTTATCGTCTCTTCAAAAAGGTTCTGGGCTCCCCTAAAAATTTCCTGACATTTAAACGACAAACTATCCTGAGGTTGAAAATCGTCACACGAAGCATATATAAAACCAAGCAGTCTGCCAGTCACGCATTTCTTTTCTTTTTTTTCTTTTCAATTGCCAACGTCAAGCATTTCGTATTCAGTCTATGGTCCAACATGATTTATATTGCAGTCGCCCCCACTTTTATTTTTCAGTTGCTCCAGCCACTTGACGTCACTACCTTAAAACCCACAATTATCAACAAACAATATGATTGGCTATGCAAGCAATAAATATCTGCAACTTCAACGTTGCGTAGTTTTCTTTATTTATCGTTTAGCTGCCCAATAAACACACGACAAATAAACAATATCCAGAGTTCTCCCTCCACGCAATACTTCTATAATTTTTTAAAAGATTCAGGTTTTATTTATTATTTTTTAAATCGTGAAATAGTTATATATTGACAATTTCTCCCACACAGCACGCCCTCGGAGCTGATCATTTCCAACTACTCTGAATTTCATATATTCACCCACTAATATGATTTGCCATAGCTCGCACCTAATTAATTAGGTGCATTGCAGAAAAGAATCAAATTTCATCGGCAAAGGCTTCACATCCAGTAGAGAAATATATAGGGAAAAATAATAATTAGGTCTCAAAAAATTGAATGCATAATAGTTAGGTCTTTGTTATTTTATTTGTTAAGAAATTAATTAAAGCAAACATACAAGTACATTCGGTTCAATCTTGACCACAGCTTTATACCACAATAGAACTTGCAAGCCTGTAAATATAACCCCCCAAAAAAAAAAATCAGGAACAGACAATAAAATTAAATTGCCAAGAGGACATCCATATGCACAAAAAATGATATTATGCTTGCGTTGGTATGAATATGTACAAATAATGTAAGTTTCCAATTCCTACAGCAATTGCTTTTTGCTACCAGGGCTACACTGTGTATTCTTTTCGACAGTTAAATCGGAAAGGAGGGGCCAACATTTCACATCTTGATATTGGTAATTCTCAAATAGGACGCTAAAGCCCCAATCCGGACTTGGTTTTCTAAAATCCCCAGATCAATCCTTACAAAATTGATTAGGCTACAAGCAAGCATATTCTGAAAGCCACCAACACATTGCAGTCGCAGCAACATTGGATCCAAGATCAACTGCAGTCAACGGTTTGAGCACTGCAAATAATTTACATCCAATTGTAAGGTCACGGATGGCATCGCGAGTAAATACATCAAGAAGCCAATTAAAGAGAATAATTAACCCATGGTACAATGATATGCCCAAGTCATATGGATATTAAATACGCAATTTTTTTTTGGGTAGAGATATTAAATATGCAATTTGTCATTTGAGAATTACGCCATGAGGTTCGTGAGAAATCGGAAAACAGACATTTGAAAGCAATGGCAAAGGTTTTTGAATAAACGCATCTGTCAAAAAAGGAGACATATTGAGCAGGAAAAATAGAGATCCTAGTAACAATCTTTACCTCAATGTGTTTCATAGTTGCAGGTGACTAATTAATTCCTCCTGCCAGGAATATAAGGGGATGCAGAGCCAGAGCCAGACGAAATGGAAAGTGGCCTCTGGACAAATGGATGGTTTAACAGCTTAGTAGCAGTGGGACGATCATCTGGATTGACTTGAAGACACTGCAGTATAAAATCCGTTGCATCTTTTGAAAGAGAATCAGGAACAGGCGGGCGCTCACCTTTTCCAATTCTAAACAATGCCTGCATCTGTTGTCAGAAGAGATTCATCAAAGCTCAAAGATAAACAGTACAGCAATATTAGGGTTGATTATACTAATCACAAAGTGTTAGCGATATAGCTAGAACATTGATCTTTGGCACCGAATGCTAAGCCTGAACAGCATAAAAACTAGCAAACTGCAATAGTAAAATTTAATACACACAAACAAACTAGAGAGCCTGAGACGCTGCATAAAAAGAGGAAAAACGAGCAAGTGACAGAAGTCAGGAACAAAGTCAGGGATCATTGGTGCATCCTTAATATGAGCTGAAATTGATAATGGAAGTGAGAGTGACAGATAATGTGATACATACCCATTCCAGATTAGAATACGGGATTTGGCCAGTTAACATCTCCAATACAGTGCAACCAAGACTCCATATATCAGCTGGAAGCCCATAACCTTGATTCTTACCTTTTACAACCTGCATATTCAAGCTTAATAATTAATAGCCATGCTCTTGACAAATCAGAAAATAAAATATCCCAAATGAGAGATTTCTGGCAATTTAAGATAAAATGAGAAGATTTTTTTCCTCCTAACGGCAACAAATTTTTCGAACTAATATGTAACAGCACTGTGTCATTGTCATTATTTATATCCATGAAATATTACATTGATATACTCTCAAGAGTCAAGACTAATAAATGAGACATAAGTAAAGGAAACAATGTAAAAATGCCAAAAGATAGAGGCCAATCAGGAAAATGACCCTCCATATGTAATCTGAATGCTTTTCCATAATTTCATATGATACTTTTCTAAACTTGAAGCTTTGTGTGTGCACTTCCAAAAATGACGAGGCTTAATGCTTATACTACATTCCAGAGTTTTAAAGTTAAAGCTTCACCAAATATTGTATGGAAATTTGTAACAACTATGTATTATGGTACAGTCCATTGTAAATCCATGCTTTATTTCCACAGTATGGTTCCTAACTCCCATGTGACAAATTTTGTACATAGACTGAAGGGGTGAGTCCAAGGACCGCCAACGCACAGGTAAGTAATTGAAGCACTTAAACCAGTATTATATCAAAGAATAACTTAGCCATGCAAAGGTTTAGCGTCATAACACCTAACTAACTACCAATAAAGAAATTATGTAGAAGTTAGAACCTTGTAAAACTCCTATAATGAAGTTAAGCTGTTATTCAAAAGAAAAAAGAAATTGAAAAGAGAACAACTTTATAGCCTACCTCAGGCGCCATCCAAAATGCTGTCCCCTTGCATGATTTAACATCATTGAATTTGGTTGCCTGGGGGAAAAACCGCACAAGGAAATTTCGGAAATTAGAATAGATACGTGATTGAGGAGCATTCAGAAATCTAAAGCTGAAATAAATAAAATAGAAACAAAAGACAGAGTAGAAAGAGAGTATAGCTAAGGAAGGGAAATAACCTTTGCCAATCCAAAATCAGCTAGCTTGACAGATCCGCTTGCATCCACCAATATATTTGCACATTTAATATCCCTTAAATTGAGGAGGAAAAAAATAGATCAGTTTTACAGAGATTCCTTCATGATAGTACACAACTGATACAGAAATATAGAAAAGATGTTAAAGAAACCATGAGCTTGACTAAAAGAAAAAACTCTATGGCATGCAGATATGCAATACAAAGTCTAAATTCTAACCCTCATGTATCTGATGTCTATGCACAATGGAGTTCCACAGTATATCAGTAGTAATAGCTCTTGAAACTCTACAGTTAGTTTAAATGTGTTGCTGCAAGAGTTATCTGTTTGTGTGTTTTTTTCCTAATCTGCACTTTCTTTGGGACTAAAAAGGAACAGCGACAACAATAAATGAAGAGAAATCCCTTTCCCCTCATACTATTTGCGTGCTTCCCGCTGCTTATCCCATTACCTTCTTCAATTGAATATATGATACAGTTCATAGTCCTCAAATATAGGAAAAATATATTTGAAGCAATGACAATGAAAGAATATTTTGCCAAAAACATGACAGAGAAATTGCAAAGGATACTGGGATTGCTATTAAGAAAGCAGGCAAAAGTAAAATGTTTCCTTAAGGCTAGAATCACAGAAATATCAGAGCTCATCTCCCTCCCCACTCCACCCACAAAAAATATCCTCCTCAAGACCAGCCATGCATAAAAACTTTAAGCCAGACAAGGAACTTGTCTAGAAACTAGAAAGGAACCTAGACAACACAATATCTTCAAAGACAAAGGCTATCACACAGAAGGAGGAATTGTGCATAAAAAAATTTACAAATGAAAGCAAGGAAACTATTATTAAATTACCTGTGAATCACATCTTGATCGTGAAGATATTTCAAACCATGCAGAATCTGCCTTGTGTAAGCAGACACTTGAGAGTCTCGAAGGTTGTACCTCCTGTAGAGGCTTGCAAGGGAACCTTTAGTAACAAGCTCAAGAAAGATGTACAGTTTTGATTCATCCTGCAACCAAAAGAAGCACTGAAATTAACCATCGGACAGTACAGCAGACCATGGAACTTATAGATTGGATTTCACATTACTTCACATGCCTGCCATCGGCAATTTAACATATTTTCAGTTGGCTTGTCTACAAAATAACACTTTCAAATTGGAAGTTAATTGTGACCTTGCCATTTGGGAAATTGATAGCGTATATAGAAGAGGTGTCAGCTACAGCAAATACTAAACTAAACATGCTGCAAGTTTCTTTGAATACAGGAAAACTAATCCTCTCAGTGAACCTTGATGCTGGGAAGGAAGGCCTCAAACATCACAACAATGATTCAGTACAAGCAGTGACAATTTTTTTACATTCCTAGAATTTACAGAGTTTTCTTGAGCTTTATAGATCCATTTTCATACAATCATTAGACTACATTTCATTGAATATCACAGCATCCATGGAATTTCATGCATTACTCCCCTGCCTAAAGTATCAGTTGGTTTGATTCGGTTCAGTGCCATAATGCACAAAACCGATCAACTGAACAACACTTAAAATTTGGACCGAAATGAACTGAACTAGTTGGTCGAACTGAATTAGGATTGAATCAAATTTTAGTGATCCGATTCAATTAATTAATTCGGTTTTGGGCTTTATATTGGGGTTGTTTGGACTCATGTAACTATTTTTTAATTTTCATCCAGTGTATTTTTTTGTTAAAAAATCTAATAAAAGCATCTATATACATAAAAATGAAATTTGGTCAGTATGTACCCTGGACTGGACCCCTTCCCTACTATGAACTATAGCCTGTCTTCTCAAACTGATAAAGGCAAATCTTATACACACACACACACACACATAATGGGCTTATAAACAAATTGCATAGGAATAAAATATGAAAATACTGGGGGGGCATAAGTTTGAGAAGACTATCTGAGTCATGCATCTTTTTAGGTTTCAGACATACAAGTTGTTTATATATCTACTTTTTAAAGTAGGAAAAAATAAAATAAAGTAAATTAATAAACTATATACATAATTTATAAGTTAATAAAATATGTGTGTAAATGATAATTCAGTCGGTTCAATCTATTTGATTTTAAAATTTACAAAATGAATTGAACCAACCAGCCAAAATTTTCTAAAATAAAAAATCGAATCAAACCAAGTAACCGAATCAAATAGATTGAACTCGATTTGATTCAGTTTGATTTTCAGTTTAGGTTAGGTTTTGCTCATCCCTACTACCTATTATGACATCCAATCAATAAAACATATGAAGCACATGATGAAAACTGTTTTCCCAGTGAGTGGGCGTTGTCAGGCACATTCTAATCTTGAATCTTTAAGCACTGCTAATCCAAGCATTCAATCAATAAATTGACATGCATAAGCCCATATTGCAGTAACTCAATATAGAAGAAACAAATCTCAAATCAAAAGGCATGCCAGGGAAAGAAAAGATGAAAGTACCATTTCCGTGCCATAATATTGAACAATGTTCTCGTGTTCAAACTGACTCAAAAGAGCAATCTCCTGAGAAAGACAAAAAACACAATCAGATAGAAGACATATTACAGGACAAGTGTCAGTGATGGAAAGTTAGTCAACCTTCAAGCGGGTTATGAGACATTGCAGCAGATAGTTTAGTTAAAGATCAATAGAAAGAGTTCACCAAAAAAGATCAACAGAAAGAGCTTTATCCAGAGCAGGGCCAACTCAGGTAATAAGGATGGGACAGGATCTAAAATTTAACAACAACAACAACAGAGAGAGACAGGCTGCTTCACCTGCTCCAGTTGATAGACGCTTTGCTGTCCCTGACTCCCTTGATCGAGCAGTGAAACTTCTTTCACAGCAAAAAAGAATCCATCTCTACCGTGATGATCCAAAGATATTAATAACAGGTCAGAAGTTGGCACTCATGTTGTATTATTAAAAAAAAAAAAAATCACAGATGCAAGCATCAAATTCCACTAAAATTTCGTCAAAAGATTCACTCTTGCTTTCTACGTAAGTAAATTCAGATACTGCAAATAGAATACAAACTTTTGAAAGTTGGACCCTGCCATAAGCATCTCCCAGGGAAAAAAAAAAAAAAGAGCTAAAACACAAAATTGTCCAGATACCCAAATTTTGTTTTTGGAAGAAGTCACCAAGCGGCAACATTAAGTTGCAGTTACATGATGCATGCATTTGCTAATTATAGCTCCCTAAACTTATTATATATTTCCAAAAAGTTAAAATCTACTATAATTACGATGACTGTCATCCGGAAGCCCCAAAAGAACAAATGCTTTAAATCATATGCCTGAACCTTTCTTATACTATGGGAAGATGTGGCAGCAGAGAACTACAACAAAAATAAAAATGCCAGAAAATTCATAACCCTGAACTCAAAAGCAAGGAGGCTTGGTAATGGTATTGCCCTGATAAAATAGGGAAAGGAAAATTTCAACAGCACTCGAAAACTTACCCAGAAATTCCTTCGTAGACTGACCCAAACGAACCACGTCCCAAAAGCTCACCCTTTTGCCAGTTCGCAATAATTCGTCTAAATCTCACATTGGGAGATATGTTGGTAGACCTAGGATCCGTGGACGAGCTAGAAGAATCATCTTCATTTGACGTAGTAAACGAAAACGATCCCGAAAACTCAGCACCAACATCCGCAAGCCTTGATGCATTATCCTCTTCTAACTTCGGGGTATGCCCATCCGCCTCGCGTCCTCCTGCTTCTTGTTTCTGTGCTTCTGCTCTCTCCGTTCCTATACGTCGTTCTTGGTCATCGTCAGAAAAGTTCGGCTCCTCGTACTTTTCCAATGACTGTCTTTCACCTTGCGGAGCAAAATCCCTCAGAATATCCCAGGTAGAACAATTGTTATCAATGACTGGAAGCCTCATCCCTGGCGGTGGCTTAATCATCGGTGGGCGGAGACCCTTGATACCTCCGCTCCCACTTGTCTCAGCAGGCTCGTCTTTAGCTGATTTAGTCACATCCCTAATCGTAACCCTTCCTTCACATTTGTCACCTGATTCACGCACTAATTGATTCGACTCTTTATCCTTCAGCTCCTCCTTCTCCTGACTTTCCAGATCGTTCAACTTCAACATTGGAAGAATATCCGAAGACGACCTAACCTTCATAGCCTCCCACGCCGCCGCCGGGATAGCAAGGTCTTCTGGTCCTGATAGCCCCAAACTCCTGCATATTAGATCAAACTCGCCCTCGGTTCCCTCAATTCGGAAGCTGGTTCGGTCATAAAATTCCATTGATCGAGTATAGAGAGAGCCGGAGGAGTCGTCCAGCGACGATGAAGATGATGCAGGATCATACTCATAGTATTTAGCGGCATTACGGCGCTCGAGCTTCGGTTTTCTTCGGAACTTCTTCTGGTCCATGCCCTTAGTTTGTTTGCTATGACCTAGAAATCGAGGTAGATGATGCATAGAGAACTAAATCCATCTAAAACTATATCCATGCTTTTATCAGTAATCGCAGTCAAGATTCAGAAGGTGCTTGATAGCTATTGTATTGGGCCTTATGCTCTCTCTTGTGAGGTAATTAAAGAAACCGGAAACAGCGTGTGCTTCGCCGTTGAGGATTGAAGGTGAGGTGGTGAACGGAAGAGGGATAAACACCGAGCTGACCAGGGCCAAGGATAACTCGAAATTGTTGAAAAGACAAAAGCGTGAGGAAGACTGGACAAAAACTGGTAAACGCCGTTGCAGAAGAGACAGAAAACGCGGTGCCAACTGCCGAGTGGGCCACCAAAGTGATGACTTGGATTGCTTAGGTGGAATTTCTCATTCCTTTTAGCGCTCGCTTTCGACGCGGCTTTTCTTTTTTTTTTTTTCTTTTTTTTAATATAATATATTATTTCTGTACTAATATATTTGTAATTATAATTTATTGCTAAACTCTTTATATTACCAACTTGCTTTAGGTTTCCTCGGCCAGTTGAAAGTTTGAAACAAGCACCCTTTAATTATGTATGATGATTATGAATGACATCCTAATCCATTGGGACAATAAGTCAGAATCATCTGTGATTTTTGAAAGCTAGTTGATATTTCTTAAAAACATATTTTGGTATTCCGAAGAATATATATCTATTTATGTTGTAAAATCCATCAGGTTTACTCTGCTACTTCTATTGTAAAATCCATCGAGTTTATTGTATAACTACAGTTGAATGAATAGTAATTTTTCTTTTTTACCCTTACTGGTATTAAAGAAATATATTTAGCGCTCAAACCAAAATTTAAATCAACTTAACATCAATGTTATAATCAAATACTCCATCAATAAAAATAAACTCAGCAAAAATCAACATTTAAATGTAAATTTTTTTATTAAATAAAAATCAGCTGAGGAAAAAATAATGGAGAAGTGAAAATCTAAATCTAAATAATTGTGAATTTGATCTCATCTATCCCACAATTATTGGTCAAAATATTTATATCATGACTTGATTATTATTTTTTAAATAAAAATCACTAGTAGGAATTACAATTGAAAAAATGATAGAAATATCTTCCTAAAATATGAAATTGATATATGTGTAAAATATGAAAATGATAGATTTGTAAAATATTATAATTCTTTCCAAGTCTCTTAAGATCTTTTTTACATTAATGTATTTTGTAAAATGACTACAATAATTTTAATTTAAAATTTTAGTAACTATTTCAGTTTAAGTAATGACTATTTTTATTATAATAATAACAAGGGTAAAAGTACAAATCTATCCCTAAACTTTTTCTCCAAGGACGCCTGGTATCATAAACTTTTTATGAAAACAATGTTGCTCGAAAACTTTCCAAGACAGAGCAATATTAGCTTGCCATCGGAGTTGACTATTTGTTAATCGTTTTGTCTCACTATACTTGTCACGTGGCATTTTTTAAAAATTTAAAAAAAATGATAAAGGTGCAAATTTATCCTAAAACTCTTCCTCCGAAAGCACCTAGTATCTTCAACTTTTTTTTATCAATGTTGCCTTGTTGTCAGAGTTGACTATTTTGTTTGACTTCACTTGCCATATGACATTTTTAAAAAACTAAAAAAATATAAAAAAATGCTTCATCCTTATCGGTTTCTTCTTCTTCATCTACAACACTAAAACTGTAAAATAACTCAAAATATTAAGATAAAAAATCAAACTCATATTTTTAACATGAAAAAAACAATTAAAGACAGGGGGTGGAAATGAAGAAAATAAATAATACAACCCAAGAACCTAACAGTTTAAGAACATTTCAAAATATCCAAAAAAAATAAGAACAAAAAATTAACAACTCGAATTGATCAATGCCAAGTAGGGAGAAGTACCAACTTAGTAGGTGACAGTTGTGGGGCTTCTCATTTAGCTCTTATCGTGTAAATGCTGACAGTAGAGGAGGAAGGAATGAAGAGAAGAAGAATGGCCGGTTGTAAAGGAGGGAGAGCAATGTGCAATTAAGACACGAGAAGGGAGGGGACAATATTTTTTTAATTTCTTTTTTAAAAATGCCATGTGGCTACCACTTTAAAAATAAAGTTAAATAAAATAGTCAACTTCAACAATAGGGCAACATTACACCGTTTTGGAGAGTTTAAAGGCAACATTGCTCTAAAAAAAATTGAGGATATTAGGCACTCCCAAAGAAGAGTTTTTGGATAAAATTACACCTTTATCATTTTTTTAATTTTTAGAAATGTCACGTGGCCAAGTGGCAAGTCCTGTCAAACAAAACTATCAACTTTAATAATAGGGTAACATTGTATCATTTTTTAAAGTTTCAGGACAACATTATTCCCACAAAAAGTTTAGGATGCCAGGCGCCCCTAAAAAAAATTTTAGGATAAATTTACACCTTTACCCTAATAACAAAAATAATATAACAAATGACAGATCTTACTCTACAAATTTTTTAAACCATAAAATCTAAGGCTATAAATATTAGTAACTATTATAGTTTAAGTAATGACTAATTTTTTCTTGACAATGACTAAAAGAGTATGAATAATTACAATTTTTTCCTTGAAAATTTTTTAATCACTAAGCTTGAGTGTTGTAAATATCAATGACTACTTGTCTACTTTGATTTAAGTAAGAATTACTCTTCTTCTAACAATGATTAAAGGGGGTTAAAAATGATAAGTTTAGCTCTGCAAATTTTTAATCACTAATCCATTGCTTAAAAAAAAATTGTGGGCATCATAGTCATTGAATTGATATTATAGAGGTGAAAAAACTTGAGAAAAAAAATCACACTTTACAATACTTTATTTTTATCTGTAAATTTGGAGGGGAATTTTCTATAATTTTCTCTTAAATTAACTATTAAATATTTTTAATTATAGTTATTTAGCATGTTTGTTAGTATGCGCGCGCGATTTTATTTTGTACTTGTGTTTATCTTATAATTATATATTGTGCATGTAGTGTTTTTATTTAATTATTATATTACTAGTTTAATTGTTAGTTTAATTAATTAGATCATAAAAATGAAAAAATCTTAACCCACTAATATTTTCGCTTCAATGTCATGTCCTAGTTTCAAGATATTAGGAAAAAATGAAAGGAAGGTCAGGTCAAGTTCAAAAAGGCGATGCCAGTAAGAGGGAGGGATCAAGAAAGTGGGAGAGAATAGTTTTTGACTTTTAAATAGAGATAGGAATATGAATCGGTCTAGTCTATATAAATTAAAAAAAATATGAGTTGGATTAGGTTTAATTTATTTCTATAAAAGTTGAAAAAATTTTAACTTAATACAACACAACCTTTAAAAGTTAGTGGGTTAAACGAGCTAACTCACCAATTCATTTATTTATTTTTAAAATTTTTTATAAATTTTTTTCAAAACATACACTTAAATAATAAGTTTCGATTTGATATTTCATAATGATTTATTCTAAATATATTAAAATAATAATTTATAATATCTGTACAAAATATATAAATTGATACAACTAAATAAGTTGTGCCTGATATGATTTATATCCATAGAATTTTTTTTTTATATTTTTTTAAATAATATGGGTTAAATGGGCCAACCCTAACATATTTGAGTTAGTCCATATGGTTCTTATGATATATGATTCTAGAAAAAAAATTACTTTTTATTTGGATCAATTTTTTTTAACCTAACTACCCTTATAACTAGTTATTTGAATTAACTCACGTAATTAGATTCATATTCTCAACTTTACTTCCAAGGAACAAAGATGAGAGTGAGAGAGATGAGAGTCAGGGAAAAGAGGAAGGGCAGTTAAAGTTGTGATTATTGATATTTTAATATGTATCATCTAATTAAAATGATCAGCAGCTCAAAATTGTAACCCCCGTGTTTATTTTTGTTTAGATGAAACTTGTGTGCTTGTTTAATTTAAAATCATCGCCAGCTCCTAATAATGTATCGTTATTTCATCAACAAATCATCATAATCTTTATTGACCAAATCCATGGAATAGTGTGATTTTCGCTTGGAAAAAAAAAATTGATTCATATTTTTAGCTTTAACTTTTTAAAAAAATCTAATATTATGTTAAGAATAAGATTTATGTACTTAATATTGTATATTTAATATACTTTAATTAATTCAAATAAAAAATAGTAAATTTTAATGTGTCAGCAATAATATTAACAAGATTTTGTCATGAAATACATAATATGTACAAAATCAACATGTATATCTTGTTTTATTTGAAAATAAGCCTACTAAGTATTCTAATAAAGGAAATAAATTTTGAATACTTTTAATAAAGAAAAAATTGGTGAAAAAGATCTTGTTAAGAGAAAAATTGATCCCAAGGATCAATTGCAATTGAAGAATCAATGTTAATATTTTATTGATTAAACAATATAAACAAATAATTAAAATATCCCTTTGCGAGATTGTAAAAAAATAAAATAAAGGCTACTTATTTAATATATGTACTCTAAGCTAATAGCCTTATACCTCAAGTTAGGAGCCTTGCACCCAAGATGATTGAAGGCTTAGGATGCAAGACTTATGACTTTGGGTGCATGTGTTAAACATGTAGCTTTTGTTTTTTTTTTTTAATTTCATTGATTTAAATAAAAGGGTATTTTGGTCATTTGATCACATTGTTTGATGAATAAAATATTAGTCTTGGCCCTTCAATTGCATTTAGTTCTTGAAATCAATTTTCATTATAACAAGGTCCTTTTCACCAATTTTTAATTTAATAAATTACTTTAAATTCTTCTTTTCATTAATCAATGTGGCTACTATCAATATTCCAATGTTAGCATAAGTGAATTTTAATAGTGTTACCTTTTTTTTCTAAGCAATAAAAATAAAAAAATAACAGAGATAAATTAAAATGATCAATTTGATAAAAATTAAAATCAAGCAATCGAATTAATAATTCAAAAAAATTTAAAAAATAAAATTCTTATTATCTATAAAACATATCATTTTAAATTTTTCCTGTGGACGGGGTTAAAATCTAATCATCCAAGAAACAATAGTGCATGCCCTGATCTGGACCTGTGGGAGTTAAACAATGCATTTATCTGTATTTTTGATTGAAACGAAGTTAATAATTTAGTTTCACGTGGCTTCTTCATATTTAAATTAAGTGTTTGTATTTCTGTATTGTTTTCCGGCGTGGTGATTGTTCTTCGTGTCAATAAAATGTTTATACGAGCTTGCAAAACATGTTTCGGGGGAGCT